AACAGACGTGTTGAGCTGTTATTATCCTCTCTCTCTCAATTCAAAAACACCTTTATATTACTCGGTGCAAGCTGTAAATGAATGCAGTGTACTTTTTCATTTATCTCATCATCTCTCCTAATATTTCTTCATTTTCATCACCCAGAAATTCATTATAACCTCCATTGTCACCCAAAATGAAGTTTTTGTAGCATTCCTTCCTTTTCGAGACTCATCCCCAAGATTCAAGCTTTTCTTCCTTATCTCACAAATCAAAGGGGATATTTTTTTTCTTTTTTATTGGCTATTTTTACCTCACGAAATTCTGCAAAAGGCTTCAGCCTTTCCAACATTTGATCTACCTTAAAAACTCCAAATTAGGCCTGTCTTGAGTAGTTTCTCTAACTTGATTTATCAAAACAAAAAAGGAGGAAAATGGCTCCATCTCTGTACTGGTGGGCAAAGGAAGCCCACCGGGGCACACCCGTGGTGGTGAAAATGGAGAACCCCAACAACTGGTCCATGGTGGAACTGGAGTCGCCGTCGTACGAGGATTTCATGTACCCAAACGACGCCGCCCCAAAGGGCGGCCGGAACAAGAACGCCAAGCAGCTCACATGGGTCATCCTCCTCAAGGCCCACCGCGCCGCCGGTTGCCTCGCCTCCATCGCCGCCGCCTCGCTCTCCCTCGCCGCCGCCGTCCGCCGCCGCGTCGCCTCCGGCCGAACGGACTCCTCCGACTCGCCGGCGGCGGAGAACCCCGCCGTGAAGTCCAGATTCTATGCTTGCATCAAGATCGCGCTCTGGCTGTCCCTACTCATGCTGGGTTTCGAAACGACGGCGTATTTCAGGGGATGGCGGTTTGGGACCCACGATTTTCAGCTCGACCGGTTTTATGCTTTGGCCCATAGTTTTGCAGTTAAGGACGTGTTTGGCTTGCTGTATTCCAAGTGGGTTCTGATCAGGGTCGAGTATCTTGCTCCTCCGCTTCAGTTGCTAACAAATGTGTGTGTATTGCTATTCCTAATCCAGAGTCTGGATAGGCTAATCCTGTGTTTGGGTTGTTTATGGATTAAAGTCCGGAATATCAAGCCCGTTGCCAAGCAGGGCCTTACAGATCTCGAGTCTGGAGATGGAGATGGCTATTTCCCTATGGTTTTAGTACAGATTCCCATGTGCAACGAGAAAGAGGTAAAAGAACCCTCTTTTTCTTCTATTATACATTTATAGCTCTTTCTTTATTGGTAGTTTTGGTGAATCTTGTGGAAATAAGCAATTTTGTGATTGAGTTAATAGTGGCTTGAATTGATTGGTGTTCTATTTATTTTTTTATTTATTTTTTCATTTTTTATTGGGACAATTGTGATAGGTTTATCAGCAGTCGATTGCTGCCGTGTGTAACTTGGAGTGGCCTAAAGGGAGATTGCTGATTCAGATTTTGGATGATTCAGATGATCCAACGGCTCAGATGCTAATTAAGGATGAAGTGCACAAGTGGAAGGAAAATGGTGCCAACATAGTTTACAGGCATAGAGTGATTAGAGAGGGTTATAAAGCCGGCAACCTTAAATCTGCCATGAATTGTAGTTATGTTAAGGATTACGAGTTTGTCGCCATTTTCGACGCTGATTTCCAGCCCAACCCAGATTTCCTTCAGAGGACTGTTCCACACTTCAGGGTAATTTTTTTTTTTTTTTTTTTTTTTTTTTTTTTTTTTTTTTTTTTTTTTTTNACCCAATTTCAATTCTGATTCATTGTAAATAGTGTTGTGTAGCTTATTAATTTAGATTGAAATGCATTGGCAAATGTTGGCACAATATTTTGCTCTTAATAGTTGCGAACCAGTATTTAGATTAAAAATAAGTTTGTTGGAGCTGAAACCCAATTATTAAGTTTATTTGTGTTTTTACAAGCAAATATTCCATTTAGTACTTTTGCTGCAGTTCAATTGAGCTACACATTATTCATATCTGCCATGCTTTGAATCACAGGACAATGAAAAACTAGGACTTGTCCAGGCTAGGTGGTCATTTGTTAACAAGGATGAGAATTTGCTGACTAGGCTGCAACTCATAAACTTAGCCTTCCATTTTGAGGTCGAGCAGCAGGTTAACGGCATTTTCCTCAACTTCTTCGGGTTTAATGGGACAGCTGGCGTTTGGAGAATAAAAGCCTTGGAGGAATCAGGCGGATGGATGGAGAGAACAACGGTTGAGGACATGGACATTGCTGTACGGGCCCACTTGCACGGCTGGAAATTCATCTTCCTCAATGATGTCGAGGTAGTTTGATCAGATTATCATCCCGTTTTTTTTTTTTAGAAAAAATTAAATAAATTTCGTTTGTTTAATGAAGTGATCAATTTTTTTCAGTGCCAATGTGAGTTGCCAGAATCATACGAAGCGTATAGAAAGCAGCAGCACAGATGGCATTCTGGGCCGATGCAGTTGTTTCGTCTCTGTTTGCCTGCCGTCATAAAAGCTAAGGTAATACATTATATTTTCTTGAAACAGAGGATATATGACATAACAAACTACCCTAAGTTCACCCACAACAAGCTAAAATACGAAAAGCCTCAAAATTCGTAATAGAAATAAATATCAAGTCCGTATTCGTGCTGATAATTTCATGAGACAACTCATTCATAAAGTTGACGTCCGCACAAATCAAAGAATAACAAAGGGTGTGTTTGGATACAAATATATCCGCTCAAAACGGGGTTTTTTTTATTTGTTAACCAGAGTTAATTCTGAAAAATATGGTATGGCGGGGTTTTTTTTTTTCGATCTCTTCCTTTCGGTTCGAGTCTTTTTGTGTTTCTCTTGGGTTTCATCTCTAGCCTACCCCGACTTGCTTGGGACTAAAGGCGTTGTTGTTGTTGTTGTATGGTATGGTTAGTTGTTAGTGGGATTTTGACTTTATATTCAAATAATGTTTACAATAAAATGTGAAATGATGGTTAGTTAAAATTATGTGAGTGTATGAATAAAGTTGCTGATGAGATGTGTAAAAATAATTGATTGATATTGTTTAATTATATTGAATAATTTTGAGGATAGTGTGGTTGAATTAAAGTTGAGTTAGATTTGTAACAGAAACCAGAAACCAGGCCTCTATCTTTCTGGTACAGATTGAAACAGTGAAACAGAAAAACCAGGCCTCTATCTTTCTGCAACAGAAAGCAAAAATCGTACAAACCAATCTGATTAAACTAGTGTATTCAATTAGCATTTGTAAAGACTTTTTAAGACTTTCGAAATCATGGTGTATTCAATATAGATTCGTTAATTTTTTTAAAGATTTTTAAAAATCCTGGGGATATTCAATTGGAATTTTAAAAAGTCTTACAAAATCCAATCCTGAGGTGGTATTAAAATTTATTGGACACTAGGATTTGTTAAGACTTTTCTAAGATTTGGTGGGATCTCTAAACAAAAAAACTTATACGAAATCCCATTTCATTTCAAATCTTACCTCCAGACTCAAGATTTCATATAATTCTTCCAAAATCTGAAAATCTTAAAAAGTTTTAAAATGTTACTTGAAATCTCAATTGAATACTAGACTCTATCTAACACCATTTCTTTTCAAATTTGTGCGAAAAATGGCAGATCAGCATATGGAAGAAGGCGAACATGATATTCCTCTTCTTCCTTCTCCGCAAGCTCATTCTCCCGTTCTACTCCTTCACCCTCTTCTGCATAATCCTCCCCATGACAATGTTCGTCCCTGAGGCCACCTTACCCGCGTGGGTCGTCTGCTACATACCCGCCGCCATGTCATTCCTCAACATTCTCCCGGCCCCAAAATCCTTTCCCTTCATCGTCCCTTATCTCCTATTCGAGAACACAATGTCGGTCACAAAGTTCAATGCCATGGTCTCCGGGCTCTTCCAGCTCGGAAGTGCCTATGAGTGGGTCGTCACTAAGAAATCGGGACGTTCGTCTGAAAGTGATCTTGCCTCTTTAGTGGTGGCTGCGGAGGGCCGTGGGGCCCACCACCACCAGAGGGGAAGATCTGAGCCAGGAAAACTGGACGAGGTTCTTAATAATAATGAGAAGGAGAAGACGAAGACGAAGACGAAGAAGAAGTATAATAGGATTTATACGAAGGAATTGGCGTTGGCTTTTCTTCTGCTGACGGCTGCTGTTAGGAGTTTGTTGTCGGCTCAAGGGATACATTTCTATTTTCTGCTGTTTCAGGGAGTGTCGTTTTTGGTCGTTGGGTTCGACTTGATTGGCGAGCAGGTGGAGTAAGTGGGGCCCATTGGTGTG